CCGTGTGGCAGCACACGTGGCCGCCACGTTGGCAGCCGCCACATTGGCAGCCACCAAGTGGCAGCGTGCCACGTGGCAGCGCCCTGGTGGCGGCGCGCCACGGTGGCGACACATGTGGCAATGGTCGTGGGCCCGGGTTGATGGGTAATGGACACGGGCCAAAATAAAATGGGCCAACCGAACCCAACTTGGGGCTCAAGGTTGGGTGACACATGGTTAGTTCACATTGCATGTGAAATGCCTTGGGGACCAAGTGAGAAAGTGGTCCACACCTTACCATGTGACACTTGTTACTTGTTCCTTTGTTTATTTAACTAAGGGTTGAATTCACCAATCTTTCCATGTGGGATCTTTTTGTGAAAAGTCCCACATTGAAAGATGAGTGAAATTCACAAGGCATACTTCCTTATAAATAGTCATGGCATGGCTTGAGAATTCTTTGCTTGAGTGGGAGTTAAAAAGAGCATTCCATAATTTTGGGAAAACTCTTAAACTCATATAACACTCGGGTTTTGGTCGGACCTCGCTAACCCCCAGGTAGTAGAACTTAAATTGTGTTCGCCTTTTTGTGGGTGGATACCGTCGGAGGCGCGGCGCTTGACGTGCTCGTAGCTTTCAAGTAAGAGCCCCGGTTTTTGGGCGAAGCTCGCTTCGAGGGTAAGATTTGTTATCTTTTCTTTGTGATTATTTATGCTTTATGATTTTAATTATTACGAGTGGTTCCTCGGGTCGGGGTTGTTTCCGCGGTGAGTCGGACTCACCAAACCCCAACAGCTTTGACTCTGAAAAATCTGAAAACTGCTACAGCCGGTGAACCGGGTAATGAACTGCTAGCACTCGGAAGCTTGAAACTTGTTGTTATGCAGGCGGGAGCAGAGAAAACTCTCTCTCTAGAAATCTCTCTTTTTCTCTCTCTAAAAAGTCAATATGAACGTAGGGTGTGAAAAGGAGGGGAGTAACTTTCTATTTATAGAAAGTAAAAGTGGGGGGATAATTTTGATTTGAAATTCAAAATTTTACCCGTTACTGTTCACCTATGAAAGGTGGACACGTGTCACAGGCCCCACGTGACATGCACGTACGACCTGTGAGGGGCAAATGTTTAGGGTATTTTTTACCCTAGACACGTGGACCAATGAGAGGTCGCCACGTGTCGAGCTCAGGATGGCCATATGGCTCAACATCCTCTTGACACTTGGCGCCCTCAGATACGTTTCTGGAATGGCGGCTTTCAAAGGCCCAAACTTCTAGGAGCACCAGAAAACGGCGCAGCCCACTAAAATCTAGGTCAAGTGACCTAGGTAGGGGCACTTTTCCCAACGACCCTATAAATAGGGGGATATTTCCCCATTTTGGGGACACATTGAATCATTGATTACACACTTATTCTCTTACATCAGAGAAAGACCTGAGCTTGGAATCCGAGCAGATACCCACCTAAATTTCCGTTCTCTATTCCGTTTCAAGTGACTAACTTGTGCGTCGGAGGCGGAGCACCACCCAACCGGTGTCTCCGTTTGTTTTGCAGGTACAGCTCACAGCGGATCAGTCTTCGTGTTGTAACTCTCCCAAGGGACAAAAACACCCAAAACACGGTGCATATAGGTTTGAGAGCGGTATAGCTCCGCCTACAACACCTGCAAATGATTTCGAAATTCGGCCGGCCATGATCACCTTAATTGAGAGGAGGCAATATAGGGGAGCTAAGAATGAGAACCCGTTGAACCATCTTAAAGAATTTGAGAAATATTGCAACATCATCAAAGTCAACGGAGTTTCTCAAGAGTTCATCCGCCTCAAGTTGTTCCCCTTCTCTCTCATAGGAAGATCCTTAGAGTGGCTAGATAAAGAGGTGAAACCCAACTCCTTGAGAACATGGGATGATGTTACAAAGGCCTTCTTGTCCTGCTTCTACCCTCAAAAGAAGACGGCGGAGGCAAGAGCCTTGATTCAAGGGTTCAAGCAAAGGCCAAATGAAAGCCTTTACGAAGCATGGGAGAGATACAAAGAGTATCAAAGGGAGTGCCCTCACCACGGAATCCCAACATACCAAGTGGTCCAAATCTTCTATGGCGGTTTAAGTCCCCAAGGCAATTCATGCTTTGATGGGGGGGCCGGGGGTCCTATCATGAACAAGACCGAAGAAGAAGTGGTGGACATTATTGAGGACGTGGTGACGTACTATAGAGATTGGCAAGATGGGGAGAGGGACTCTTCAAGCAAGCAATCTTAATTGTACTCGGTGGACCATCTAAATGCGATCAACAACCTTTCCTCCCAAATGACAAACTTGGGAAAGGAGGTGACCGCAATCAAAGCCAAGTTGGAGAGTGCTTCTTCTTCTTCTCAAGCTTTGAATCTTCCCTACCAATTTAAGGGGAGAGGTACTCTTTCTAACTCTCAACCCCCTCCCTCTTCACATAATATGCCTATGAGTTGTTTTTTTTGTGATGCATGTGGATCGTATGATCATGACTCTAGTAATTGTCCTAATGAATGTGTTGATGAGTTTAATAACAATGATAGTGAGCATGTGAATTATGTGTCAAATAATAATGCTCAAAGGTTTGATAATCAAAAAGGTCAATGGAATAGGAATTACCAAAACCAAGGCAATTTTGACAACTATAACCAAGGTGGTGGTTATAGAAACCAAGGGAACCAAGGTTCTCGTGGTAGCTATAATAACCAAGGTTATAGTGGCCAAAATCAAAGCCAAAATTATGGTAATCAAAACCAAGGTTATGGAAATCATAACCAAGGTAGTGGTAATCATAATCAAGGTGGTGGTAACCATAATCAAGGTTATGGTCAAAATCAAAATAGGGGTACTTGGAACAATCAAGGGAGGGGCAATTTTCAAAATAATGCTCAAAGAGGTCCCCCACCCGAATTTGTTCCAAGGACTTAAGGAGAAAATTCCTATTCACAACCTTCTTCACCTAGGACCAATTTGGAAGAAATAATTGAGAATCAAACCAAGTTGTTGAACACATACATGGTCGTTAGTGGTAAAAAGTTCAATGAAATGATGACCCACAATAAAATGCTTGAAAACCAAATTTCTCAACTTGCTAATGCTTTGAAAGATCATGCAAGCCCGACCTTCTTCTTTACCTTCCCAAGGTCTTGATCCCAAGGAAAACGTGAATGCTATTGTTACAAGGAGTGGTAAGGTTCTTGAGGAGAGATTGGGAAGAATGAAGATAAGGAGATTCCTAAGGAAGCCTTGGTTGAGAATGAGGGGGATAGGGCATCATTGGATGAGGTTGTGGTTGAGACACCTAGAGAGGTGAGAGTAGAGAAAGAAATTGTGAAACCCAAGCTCCCTTACCCACAAAAATTCATGAGACACAAATTGGATGAACAATTTGGGAGATTCATTGATATGCTAAAACAACTTCATCTTTCTCTACCTTTTACCGATGTGATCAACCAAATGCCAAATTATGCCAAATTCCTCAAGGAAATTTTGAGTGGGAAAAGAACTTGTGAGGTTGTGGAGACTATCAATTTGACCGAAAATTGTAGTGCTATCATCATGAACAAAATTCCAAACAAATTGAAAGACCCCGGAAACTTCTCCATCCCTTGTGCCATTAACAAGATGCAAATTGATAATGCCTTATGTGACTTGGGAGCTAGTGTGAGAATAATGCTATATTCGGTTTATCAAAGACTTGAACTAGGGGAACTCTTACCTTCTAACATTACCTTGAAATTAGCCGATAGGTCAATCAAGTTTCCAAAAGGTAAGGTAGAAGATGTTCCATTGAGGGTTGGGAAGTTTGTGTTCCCGGTGGATTTTATTGTGCTTGAAATGGATAAAGATGCTACCATTCCATTCATTTTAGGTAGACCCTTTCTTGCTACCTCGGGTGCTATGATTGATGTGAGGAGTGCAACGATTTCCCTTAAGGTAGGAGATGAGGTCATTGAATTTGATTTGAATGAAATCATGAAGTATCCATGTTTTTCTCTAGAAAATTGCATGATGATTGATTCACTTGATCATGTTGTGTCTTCCATGCATGAGCACTTGCTCACCCCTAACGATGCTCTTGAGAATGTTTGTTGAACAAAGACAAAGTAGGTACACCATGCAAGGAAATGGAATTCTATGAGGAATTGCTTAATGGAAGCATGGAGGAAGTGGATGAGCAAATGTGCTTGAAAATCTCAAGCCAAGAAGCTTTGCAAGCGGCCACATCAAAGGAAGGTAATGGTGTGCCTATGGTAGAGCTCAAACCTCTACCATCACACCTTAGGTATGAGTTCTTGGGCCCTCATTCCACTTACCCCGTGATAGTTAGTGCATCCTTGAGCGTGAGCCAAGCTCAAGAGTTATGTGGTGTTTTGAGAAAGCACCAAGGTGCTTTGGGGTACACAATTGATGATCTTAAAGGTATAAGCCCCGCCTTGTGCCAACACCACATAACACTTGAGGAAGGCGCCCTTCCTTCTATCGAACGACAAAGAAAACTACATCCCCAAATGGGAGAGGTAGTTAAGAAGGAGATCACCAAGCTATTGGATGCGGGAATCATATTCCCCATCTTTAGCTCAAGGTGGGTCTCCCCCGTGCATGTCGTTCCAAAGAAGGGGGGCATGACCGTGGTTGAGAATGAGAAGGGTGAGCTCATTCCAACTAAGACGGTCACGGGTTGGCGGATGTGTATAGACTATAGACGTCTAAACACATCCACCAAGAAGGATCACTTCCCTCTTCCATTTATAGATTAAATGCTTGAAAGACTAACAAGGCACAAGTTTTATTGTTTCCTTGATGGATATTCGGGATTCTTCAAAATCCCCATCCACCTCGATGATCAAGAGAAAATTACCTTCACATGTCCTTATGGGACCTTTTCCTATCGATGAATGCCCTTTGGGTCATGCAATGCACCCGCTACATTCCAAAGGTGCATGATGAGTATTTTCGGGGATATGTTGGAGGAGGAAATGGAGGTCTTCATGGATGACTTTTCGGTGGGGGGGGGGGGTGTCTCATTTGAGGAGTGCCTTGTGAAGCTTGAGAAGTGTTTGGAAAGAATTAGTAGAAAAAACGTCATTTGTAACCCCCTATTTGTAACCAACAGTACTTTTTTAGTTACAATTAGTATATTTGTAACTAACAATTAAAAAATCCGTTACAAATAATTAGTAAAAACTTGTATGACTCATGTAATCGTAACTGACTAAGAATTGTTGGTTACAAGTAATTGTTATTGTAACTAACAATTTAATTGACAGTTACTACTACTATACTTATATTTTCTGTAAATATATATTTGTAACTAACAACACATAGTCGGTTACAAATACTAATTTCATTTTATTTTAATATATTTTTTTCAATAAAGAAAAAGAAAAATCTAAGCCCCAAAATAATAAATAAAAAAAAACCTCGACCTCCCCTATTACCCCCAACCTTAGTCTAAAATTCCCCCAAAAATAAAAAAAAAACTCCCACAAAAATCCCCCCCAATTCACTCAGAAAATTTGGCTTGAGCACCGCCCCATCCACCTGAGCTTGAAGACCGCCGAAGTTCAGCCTCAAAGAGTTCCGTTGGATTGAAGGCTGCCGGAGTGCCGTCGGCTAGTTCGAGCGTTAGCCACCGTCAAGCAGCATCAACACTTATATACATTAGGGTATGTTCGAGAATTAATTGGTTTTTTTTTTTGTAAATGCAAATTGAATTGGGCTCATTTACTTCTTTGGATTGAAGGCTGCCGGAGTTCCTCTGGGTTGAAGGCTGCCGGAGTGCCATCGGCTAGTTCGAGCGTTAGCCACCGTCAAGCAGCATCAACACTTATACATTAGGGTATGTTTGAGAATTAATTGGTTTTTTTTACATGCAAATTGAATTGGGCTCATTTACTTCTTTGGATTGAAGGCTGCCGGAGTTCCTCTGGGTTGAAGGCTGTCGGAGTGCCGTCGGCTAGTTCGAGCGTTAGCCACCGTCTAGAGGTCCTACCTTGTTTTTTCCTTTCAAACAGCTATTCAAATAAATTTACTGAATTATAATAAAATGGCAAACTAATAGCATGGTGTGAAAAGCAGCTGTTATTTTTGTTGGCTATGAATGAATGTAGGGAGCTTTGTGTCATATTAAAGCCTTCTGTCATACAAAGTTCTGTAAAGTTTTTCAACTAACTGTTGTGCGGAAAGCAGTTTGGACTATGTGTGTTAACTAGCACTACGAAATCGGTTGTGACTGATAGCCCATCATGTTCTTCCAGTAGCAATCTGTTAATATTGGCATGATGCATCTTGATACTTTAATATCATCTGAACGCCTGATTTCTTCAAAAAATATGTTATGTAGTATAGCCTATGATTAACCTCCAAATATAATGAATCATAAAGATGAATCGAAGTATTTGTAAATGTATCAATTGATGCAGTGATAATTTTGACTCATGAAGTACAAAGTAACTAGTCAGGTGCTGCTTCTGTCACTGTTATTGCAATGATGACTGTATACTACTTTTTCTACTATCAGGAATTACCTTAGAAGTTTAGAAGGATGACATAGTTTCATCCGTAGAAACACGTCTTGTCCATTTGTCTGCTTAATTTTTACACCATTTGGATAGTAGTTACTTCTGTGAACTGCACTTTGTTCTAGCAGGATTAGAACATGAATCCATATTGGTTGAGCACTTTTATTTTACTATTGCATCTTTAATGGATGACAAACCAAACCATATTAAAGAGATTGGTTTAATTTCATATTTTTTCCCTTCCTGTACCAGGCACCATGCAGTTAATGCATGTTTGGCGCCGCTGTACTCTGTAGAAGGAATGCATGTAATCACAGTGGAAGGCATTGGAAGTCGTAAACTTGGCTTAGCTTGCATCCAGTGCAGGTTCAATTCTTCCCTTTCTATTTGATTTCATCGAAAGAGGATCATACTCCATATATCATTATAAGCACACATAAGAGCTTTTGCAAGTTCTTATTTGTTTTTTACATTGAATTCAAATTTCTGTTTCAATTTTTTGTCTCAATTTTCTGTCATATTGCATTTAAATACCTATTTCAATTTTACATTGAATTCAAGTTGCTGTTTATATTGTATTTATCTATTGTATTTGAATTCAAGTTTCTGCTTATTTATTTTTTACATTGAATTCAAGTTTCTGTTTATATTGTATTTATCTATTATAGTTGAATTATATTTTGGGAGTCTCGATTATTGTAAAACCGTAAACTCTTGCTTGATTTCATTGATACCATAAGCAGCATATTTATAATACAAGGCAGAAGAATCCTAAGCCTATACGGAAACAAGTCCTGCTAGCTTAGGTAAATAAACATAAACAAGGAATCAAATATTATCATAGTAAATCTAAATATATTCACTAAATCTTAGTATATTTCCTAAATATATCGTAATAATTACATTGTGGGTTAAGATCTTTAAGGTGTAGCTGTGTAATTTAATTTAATTTAATTTTATAGGGTTAATCTCTTGATTTTTGGGTTGTGTAATGTATTTGAATGCTTTGATTATCTTGGTTTTAAGTGTTATATGTGTTATCTCACTGTGAGGTGGATTTTGTCGATCTTGTGTTTATGACATTTCAAATATAAAGTTCATCTGCCTTAATTAGTGCGTGTTATATCATAGTGTATACTTTGTCGTTCAAATTCTAGTTATGAATCACGTCATATCTGGGTAGATACTTTGCTTTTTTTGGTGTTTAACATAACATGTTATTACATTTTAGAAATGAATCGTGAATGGATGTATGAAGCAATCCGAATGTCACCTGCATACTTGGAAGGAGTTAATGAGTTTTGTAAGATTGCTGTGCAACATCAGTGGAGTGTTGTTGTTGAACAAAGACTTACTAGGGCAAGACCTATCTTCTGCCCTTGTTGTCGTTGCAAGAACGTGAAGAGGTGGGATGACATTAAGAAAATAGAGGAACATTTGATTATTCATGGGTTCATGTCAGACTACACAGTTTGGTACTGGCATGGTGAAAAACTTACTCCTATGGGCAATTCATCTTCTGTTAATAATGATACCGAACTTGATAGGGAGTCGGGTGGTAGTGATAATATTGATGGGTTTGATGAGGAAAACAATGTTATGAAGATAACATCAATGATATGATGGAAGGGTTGGAGGATCGTGTGAATGAAAATTCCCGTACAAAGTATTCCAAGCTTTCGGGGGTGTTAACATTATTCAACTTGAAAGCAAAGAGCGATTGGACTGACACGAGTTTCACTTTGTTGTTAGAAACTCTTTCGGATATGTTTCCCGAGGGGAATGATATTCCTAAGTCCACCTATTATGCGAAGAAATTGATGTGTCCCATGGGTTTAGAGTACACCAAGATCCATGCATGTCCTAATGACTGTGTGCTTTTTTGAAAGGAGAATGAAAACTTAGATGCTTGTCCACAGTGCGGTGAGTCTCGATACAAGCGGGAGGGTTTAAACTTGAACCGTAAGAAATGGCCGCCAGCTAAGGTTGTATGGTATCTTCCAATAATTCCAAGGTTTAAACGTCTATTTTCAATCAAGCAAGATGATAAAAACTTGGTGTGGCATGACAATGAGAGGAAGAAAGATGGGTTAATTAGACACCCGGCTGATTCATTGCAATGGAAACACATTGATGAGACATTTCCAGAGTTCGGTAATGAGCCTAGGAACTTGAGGCTTGCGTTGAGTACAGACGAGATGAACCCTTATGACACTTTAAGTAGCAAACATAGTACATGGCCGGTTCTTTTGTCGATATACAACTTACCTCCTTGGTTGTGTCAGAAGCAAAAGTACATCATGCTGTCACTGTTAATATCAGGTCCTAAACAACCTGGTCATGACATAGATGTGTACTTAGAGCCGCTCATAGATGATTTGAAGCTGTTGTGGGATGAAGGTGTTGTGACATTCGATGCTTATACCGGGACAAATTTCAGACTTAGAGCCATGATTTTCTGTACCATAAATGATTTTTCAGCGTATGGAAATTTGTCGGGGTACAAAAACAAAGGACAAAAAGCATGCCCAATATGTGAAGATGATATGCCTATTACATACCTGAATCATTGGGGTAAGAATGTGTATTTGCATACTAGAAGGTCACTTCGTCGAGACCATCCATATCGAAAGATGAAGAAACAATTCAATGGTTTTATTGAGAAAAGAGTGTGTCGTAAGCCGCTGACAGGGACCCAGATTTATGAAAAAATTAAACATAACAACACAGTCTACGGAAAGCTTCACACACCGAAAACAAAGAAGGATGTTCTATGGAAAAAAGTGTCTAAGTTATGGGAACTTCCTTACTGGAAGCACTTAAGAGTTAGACATTGTTTGGATGTGATGCATATTGAAAAAAATGTTTGTGATTCATTGATTGGGACATTGTTGAATATTAAGGGGAAGACCAAGGATGGTGCTACTATGCGTAGAGACATGAAGGAAGCCAATATTCGACCAAAGTTATGGCCCGAGGATAATGAAAGAAGGAAGAAATCATTCTTGCCTCATGCATGCTACACGTTGTCTAGGGAAGAGAAGAGGATGTTTTGTGAATGTTTGAATGTTTTGTGAATGTTTGAATGTGAGCCGTTTTGTTTCGGTAACCGATAAGAAAGTATCTGGTATGAAATGTCATGATTGTCATGTCATGATGCAAGTATTCTTACCAATTGCTATTCGGGGGCTATTGCCGAAACATGTTAGGTATGCCGTTGTGAAGCTTTGTCACTTTTTCAGTGACATATGTAGTAAGGCAATTGATCCCAAAAGCTTGATGAAATGGAAGCTGATGTTATTGAAACCTTATGCAAGTTCGAGATGTATTTTCCACCCTCGTTCTTTGATATAATGGTACACGTAGTTATCCACTTACCTTGAGAGATTAAAGAATGCGGTCCTGTGTTCATGCATTATATGTACCCTTATGAAAGGCACGTGGGAAGTTTGCAAGATAAAGTTAAAAATAGAGCAAGTCTTGAGGGTAGTATCATTCAAGCTATCCTTGCAGAGGAAGCTGGGAACTCTTGTGCTGTGTTCTTGGCTAGGGCTAAAGAAATTGGTGTTCCCGTTTCTCGACATGAGGGAAGGCTGCAAGGGAAGGGTAAAGTTGGTCGAAAATTGGTTAGGCCTCCCATTGACAGATTTCAAAAGGCCCATCAATATGTTTTGCAACAGCTTTCTGAAGTTCATCCATACATAGAAAAGCATCTACATGAATTGCAATGTCAAAATCCAAGAATAACTGCTTATTCATTGATGCAAGAGCATAATCGCCGGTTTGTTGAGTGGTTTCAAGTCCAAGTGAAGCTTCAATTGAGTCAAAATGAAAATGTACCAGAAATGATCAAGTGGCTAGCACGAGGTCCCCAACCACTTGTTTATTCTTATGAGAGCTACGACATCAATGGATATTCTTTCTCTACTTGTCTTAAGGATGAAAAGAGTGTTCAGCAGAATAGTGGCGTGGTTGTAGTTGCATCTTCAACAGAATACTCAAGCGCTAAAGATACAAGGCCAATCGATGCGACACAAGCATATTATGGGGTTATTCAAGAGATTTGGGAGCTAGACTATGTTGATTTCACCATTCCTCTTTTTCGATGCAAGTGGGCAGACAATCGTCGTGGACAAAAAAGGGATGTTCTGTTTGGTTATACTTTGGTAGATTCAAGTCGTTATATAGAAGGTGAGGAGCCTTTTATCCTAGCAAAACAAGCTAAACAAATTTTTTACATCAACGACAATATGGATCCAATGTGGCGTGTTGTGGTTCAAGGAAAAAGACGAATTGTTGGTGTTGAAGATGTCGTAGATGAAGAGGAGTACGACAGATTGGATGACACCCCACCTTTATCCATGGGTGTCCAACCTCTTCAAGATGGAGAAGATATAGTTGATGATGAGGACTATGATCGTGACGAAGTGGTGGAGGTTGATTTAGTTACGACACCACTATAGGGTTTATGTTAGTGTTATTATGCTATGTTAGCTTAGCAATTTTGTAATATTAGCAATGAACTTGGTTCCTCTCTCTCTCTCTCTGAGATCAAATGAATCTGTATTTGAATGATATTCTGTTTTGACTTCTGCCAATTTAAAGATTTTATAGATGAGACTTTGGAATTATTTGATCAAATAAAGCTTGAATTTTGTAAATAACTTCCTGTGAATGCTCTGCTTGTAAATATATCCTTTTACTAAGGAAGCTTTATTATGTGTGATTCAGGTTCTGTGGGGTCTCAAATTCCTTGGTTAAGCGTGATGCTGAGGGAGCACCTGCAGCAATAACAGTGCCCTAAACTAAAGGTATTTGTTATAATACATGATAAATATTTTGTTTTCTAGCTTCTGTAATAATACATGATAAATATTTAGTCTGCTAGCTTCTGTAATATATGATAAATAATTAGTCTGCTAGCTTTCGCTTATATTTAGTTTTTGCACCTCTATTATTTGATAAGGCATAAAATGCTAGGGTTGCTCGTTTCACATTCTCAAGTACTTCAAGTGGTATCCGATGGTTGATGATTTGAAAGAATCCCCACTTCTGAGCAGCATCACATACTGATTTTACAACTGTTGGGTCATCCCACTTGGACACGTCGACTATGGGGATCGAAGCCTCTTCCATGATCTTCATCAATTTTATTTATTTGGCAACTTCTGAGAGGCTTTTAATGGACTGAATTTTATTTATTTTAATTCTGTAATAAATAAATGGTGCATATTCTGTAATAAAGTGGGTGATATTATGTGAACCAGGGCATACATCAAACTTTCTGCCATGTCTTATTTAAAGAAGCCTAACTGAAAAATAAATCAGAATTGGTACCTCCACCTTCAGCATCACTTAATTTGGCATACATACCTAGGCAGTAGAGAATTTATAATATACAAAATCAGAATTTATATACACATATACTGCAGTTCAAGATCTTGCTTACCATTTACAATATGTTGTGTTTGCTGGTTTCAGATTTTATCAAGCAAGTTTCATAGCAGAGCAAGAATTGCCATGGAGGAAAGTGGAGATGAATACAACCAAGAATGTCAAGATATGGAAGAACTTCAACATGATGTTGTTACATCACAACCTAAGCCTAAGAAAAAAGGAAGAGGTCCATCAAAAGGAGTCCAAACAACAACTCCTATCTTCCTTGAATTTGATGAATTTGGTTTGCCTACGGGGAAATGGGAATCTGAATATGGAAAACAAATTGAGACTTGTTCCAAAAAAGTTGACATCAATGTTAAGGAATATTCAAAGATGGATAAAGAGGAGAAAAAAAAACCTATGGGAGGAGACAAAGGTATAAATGCTTTAAATATGTAGAATTTATTGAGTCTATGTTAACCTAACCTTGTCGATTAATTTCTTCGGCACTTTGGTTTTTTTTTTTTTTAATAATTTTTTTGGAGCAGCGCAAGTTCCACATTGATGATCCGGAAGGAGTTAAGGAAAAGAACTTTCATGTAGCTGTCGGGAACAGATTTAGGGGGCACAAGTCTTGGTTAAACGCTCGCTTTATCACAAAAACCGAAGCTCCTACCGAAGATTCACCTAGTGCAAAAATGAAGCCATGGGAACTTTATAAGGGTTTCATCTCAGAGCTGCAGTGGAAAGATTTTGAGGCATATTACACATCAAAAGAATTCAAGGTATGTAATTATTAGTGTTATGCTTTAAGAATGAGATGACTATGAATATAATTCTAATATGGTTATTACTTAACAGCTTAAAAGTGAAAGGGGGAAGGAAAATGCAAAACAAAACAAATATCGACATCACTTAGGGCAAAGAAGCTATGGGAGGGCTCGAGAACACTGGAAAAAGTCAAATAGACTTCCCCCAGTCTCTGAATCATCAACCACGAGCAACACCACTGAATTAAGTACTACTACGTCATTAAATGAAAGGCTGACGCATCGTTCTCTTGAATGGGTCTTAGCACGTCAAATTAAGTTACCCGATGGATCATGGGGTATAGACCCAAAAGATGTAGACACTGTTGCAATTGCTAAATCAGTAGTAAGTTCTTTTCTCATTATGTATTTATATTATGCAAGCTCTTCATCTACAAGTTTATAATTGTTAACCTTGCATTAAACTTACTATAATTAATCATCATTTTTATCATGTAGTTAGAAAACATGAAAACGAAGTCCGTAGAGAGACAAGAAGGAACAAGTTCATGTGAAGAGCGAGGCATTGATGCCCTAACCTTAGCATTAGGGAAAAAGGATAATCGGGGTCATGTCAAAGGACTTGGTAGATGTGGGGTTGGTGTTGGCCTTACTCAAGCATTCGGGAAGAAAGATCGTAAGGGGAAAAGATCAAGCCATAATAGCTGTTCTTTTAGTGAATTGGAAGCAATGAAAGACTCTTTAACTCAAGAATTTGAAGCAAAATTTGAAGAAAGGTTGAGTCAACGGGTAGTTGAGGAGATTCAGACTTATGTGGCTAATTTGATTCCTCGCTCAAACTCAACATTGCCAATAATGCCAGCAATTACTGAACTTCAATCACCCTTAGCAAACAATCTTAATCAAATAAAAGCAACACGTGTGATACAGGTAAGTGAGAAATATTAAGATATTTGTATCTCATAATTTAAATATCAAATAATAAGATAATATGTCTTTAATATTCAACAATGTAGGTCCCGACTCCATGTTTTCTTACCTTGATTGATGAGTACAATGAGAATAAAGTGGTCGTGGCAGATGGAACAGCACAACCGTGTTTGGACGGGGTTACTCATAACCTTACCATGAATCCGAAGCACTATAGAGTTAGTGTGGACTATCCTTACCCCGACTATGCCTCTCTTGATCTACCGGTGAAGGCTCCAGATGGTGAAACTAAGTTGGGTAAAGCGACTGGCTATTTTGTGGAATGGCCTATCTATTTAGTGATTTTCAAAGATGAGGTATAATGTTTTCTACATTATAAAATTTAATTATGAGTATGTTAAATGTTTTTTTTAACTTAATAATAATTTAACAAATATTAAATTTAAAAGGACATGGGACCACTGATAAAGAAGGCAAAATCAGTAGAAGCCAATGAGAAAGTTGATAGTTGTGGCGTTAAATCAAGGCAATCAACTACTAAAGGCTTTGCTCTACTTGATGATAGCATTGTTGGTAGTTTGAGTGAGTGTTGTGAGATGTTGTATTGGTGCATGAGCTCTGATATTGACAAGTATGATACTATAACGGTATCATTGAAGGCTCCTTATTTCTATCAAAATGAGGATAAAAAAACTTTTGTTACAGCTACAGACGTATCAGAACTTCTTAGAGGAGCATGGGCTAATGTTTCATTGTTTCATGTCTACATTTTGTAAGATTTTCACACACTAATCTGTATGTGTAATTGAAAGATATTTATATATCCCATCCTATATGTAAGTAACCAAATTTTGTTTTACAGGTACCTAATTCATATGCATATTTCCATTTTAAATATAACCGAGATCACATTCCTTTGTCCTCAAAGGATTTCGGTAGCTGAAATCGAGCACGATTATCTCGAAGTTCATGGGTATGTTAAAAAGGCTTTTATGTCCGAACTTGAAAAGGAAGATAAGCATTGCAAATTTATGTTAGCACCGTATCTTCAAAGGTTTGTCCTACGACACATGCTTAATTATTTACTATTGTATATGTTTGTGAATTACAAGTTAATTAAAGTTTTATGGAATGTCATTTTTTTATAGTAATCATTGGGTGCTTTTGGTAATAAACTTACAATTGGGCCTTGTGTTCGAGTTTGATCCTGCCACTTGTCCTAAAAAGACCCCAAGAAAATTGAGATTGGCTGATATACTAATGAAGTAAGTAAAGATAGAACATCATTTTCACATAATAAATTCAAAGTTTATGAAAAATGTTGTTATTTTTTTATTATAATTTTTTATTATAGGGCATACAAGGTGTATTTGTCTAAATTGAAGGGTAATGTTTTGAAAAGTAGAAGGAAAAATTTGCTATTTAAGCAAATGGAGGTACATAAGTGATATCCTTTATGTTACACAAATTAATGCATGCAATGCATAAGTATTTTAATGGGTAATAAATTGTGGGCTTTGATGTTTTAATTCTAGTGTGCTCAACAAAAAGGAGGTACTGAGTGTGGATATTACATCATGAGATACATGTATGAGGTTGTTGTTGGTCACAGTGAGTGCGAAGGTAATTTAGAGGAGGTAAGTGACGTGTGATTGTTTCTTTGAAATAATTAAAATAATCTTTTTGAATTTATTTGAATATATAATATTTGTTTGTATTTTACCAGGTATATTCTGCAAGGAAAATGGCTTTTGATGAAAGGGAATTGAATGAAACTAGAGAACACTGGGCAAATTTCTTTCGAAGAAAATATTTGTTGAATGAACCAATTTAGTTATTTTAATTTCATCGAATGCATAACTAATTTGATTGCATATGTAGGGATGGTGAACTTGTTTGTTGATTAGTGAATGAATTTATTGATGTGTTACATTAAATTTTTTATGTGGAATGATGACTTCATTTATTGGTGAATGGTAATGATGTTAGAGTAGTGTTGTGAGTACAGGTTTTTATTAATCAATATCAACTTGAAGTTGGGATGTTCGTAAAAAAGGGGAGATGTTGTCCGTTTTTCTGTAGGAAAATGAGATTGTATATGAGTCTATGTACTCAAACCTGCAGGAACTATCTATGATATCTTCTCCGTATATAAATTATTTGGACAAAAAAAAAAATACAATTATTCGTAACCAACAAATAAATCGTTAGTTACAAATATCTTGAATTGTTATCATAAATTGAAGCTATAATTGTAACTGACAATAAATATGGTAGTTACGAATAAACATATAATCGTAACGGACAATTAACATGATAGTTACAAATAATAGCTTAATTGTAACTAACATTTAAAAAGTTAGTTACAATAAACTGTCAAATTAGACTATAAAATGGTGTATTTGTAACTAACATTTAGAGAGTCCGTTACAATTGCCTAACTTCTTGTAACTAACATTGTTGGTTACAAAAGCCTAACAGTATTTGTAACTCCTGTAAATGATGTAACGGACAAAGTTGGTTACAAAAAGCCCGTTTTTATCAGTTACAAATGACGTTTTTTCTACTAGTGAAGATGTGTGAAGGTCAATCTTGTTTTGAATTGGGAGAAATGCCACTTCATGGTGGAGGAGGGTATAGTGCTTGGGCACAAGATTTCAAATAGAGGCATTGAGGTGGATAAGGCAAAAATAGAAGTGATTGAGAAACTTCCACCTCCAGTGAATGTCAAGGGAGTGAGATCGTTCCTTGGTCATGCGGGTTTTTATAGGAGATTCATCAAGGATTTTTCACTTATTGCTAAGCCCCTAAATGACCTTCTTCAAAAGGATGTTGAGTTCATTTTTGATGACAAATGCTTGAAGGCATTTGATAGATTGAAGAAGGCCCTAATCTCCACTCCTATTGTTCAAGCCTCAAGGTGGGATCTTCCTTTTGAATTGATGTGTGATGCGAGTGATTGGGCGATTGGAGGTGTTTTGGGACAACGTGTAGACAAGAAGCTTCATGTGATTTACTATATGTCCAAGACTCTCAATGGGGCTCAAAAGAACTACACAACAACGGAAAAGGAATTTTTAGCAATTGTACACTCTTTTGAGAAATTCCGTTGTTACTTGTTGGGTTTCAAGACCATAGTCTTCACGGATCACGCGGCCCTCAAGTATCTCTTTTCTAAGAAAGAGTCCAAGCCTAGGTTGATTCGATGGGTGCTTGAATTGCAAACTTTTGAGATTGAGATTAGGGACAAGAAGGGTGCGGAAAATGTTGTGACAGACCATCTTTCTCGCCTTGAGGGTGATCAAATTCATGATGATGGTTCACCAATTGAGGATAGAATGCTTGATGACTTCTTATATGCCATAAGGGTGAAGGAACTCCCATGGTATGCCGACTTGGTGAATTTTCTAGCATGTGGGGAGTTTCCATCCTCTTTCTCAAAGAACGAAAGGAAGAAAATCAAAAGGGAGGCAAGACATTACTTGTGGGATGATCCCATCTTATACAAACGAGGGGTTGATGGCTTACTTAGGCGTTATGTTCCAAATGAAGAGGTGTCTAGTGTTTTAAGGATGTGTCACTCAGACCCTAGTGGCGGGCATATGGGTGTTTCCAAGACCGCTACCAAGGTTCTTCAAAGTGGTTTATGGTGGCCACATCTCTTCAAGGACTCATGGGGCTTTGTGAAGTCATGTGACCGATGTCAAAGGGTTGGGAATATCTCCAAGAGGAATGAGATGCCTCAACAGCCCATTCTTGAGTTAGAGGTGTTCGATGTTTGGGGGATTAACTTCATGGGACCATTCCCATCTTCATATGGTAATCAATTCATACTTGTGGCTGTGGACTATGTTTCTAAATGGGTTGAGGCCATTGCCTCCCCTACTAATGACCACAAAGTAGTGTTGAAGTTGTTCAATGACGAGCGCTAAATCGGTCGCACAATTTAGGCTCATTCAAACACATTTATAACAAACACCTCACTCAAACAAGTACAATGGCAAGCAAAGGTTCGGTCCACGGAGAACGGGAATCAAATGCTAAATAATCTTAATGCTCAAGCTAAATCGAAATCAAGGTATAAGTGGTGATTAACTAACAAACTACAACTAAAGGTTGAATTCAAGGGATTAAAACACTAGGGGAATGGGATTCACTCAACCAATAGCAATTAGGCAAATAGGGAGGAATGAGGGTAATGGAATAGCAAAGACCACATTTTAGATCAACATCAAACGATATGAAAACAACTCAGATTACTAAGCTTAGATCCCTCATTAACTTAGCAACAAAAGATACATAATCATATTGCAATAGGTAATGAAACATTCAACTCACATTTCCATGTCGAACCAAACATTTCATGCCATCAAGTTCAATAATCTAGGTTAATTACTCCTATCATGAAGAACTAACAAGCAATCCCATATAATCAAGTTTAGTCGCAATCCATCATCAAAATCACTCCCAAACTCACATAATCACCAATAGGTTGAGTTTCACCCAACCCCTAGCCAAGAGGACTACTCACAATTCATTGTGAGTACATGCAAATTCCAAGTTTGGATTATAAGCGATTCTAAGATTTGGAAAAACAAGTGATTATCTATGGACAAAGCTAACATGCAACAACAATATATCAAGATTGAGAGAAAATCAAGTGGCTTACAAAACAAAAAATAAAATCAGAAAATAATGAAGGACAAATGAAAGAAGTTACTATTGAAGCTTCAAAAATGTTGGATAATTGCTGAAATTCTTGAGATAAATCTTGAAATTTGCTTCTACAATGATTAGATTTGAGAGTTTCTAAAACTAAATCAACTAATTTAATGAAGTTGCTAACTAAGAGAGAGTATCTTTTTTGCTGAAAACTATTCTACTGTTTTTCTTCTCTCCCCCCGAAAAACGATCTCAAAAGGACCTTAAATAGTCCGTACAAAATTGGCTGAGATCGGGAAAAGGTCCGACCGAACTCTGGGTAGGTTTGGTCGGACTCAGGGTAGGTTCGGTCGAACTCTGTGTAGGTTCAGTCGAACCTCCCTGATCCTTGTTTGGTCGAACTTTTGAGGTTCGACCTCTCCTGCAAAATTGCTGAAAACTGGTTTGACACTGCCTTCACTGCACCCAGGAGGTTCGGTCAAACTTTTCAAAAGTTTGACCACACCTAGGTTCGACCGGACCTTTCAGAGGTTCGGCAACACCTCCTCTTGCACTTCCTTTTCTTGCTTCCTCTCCTTCCCTTTTGCTCCTCTTGCCTTTGTCCATGGCTTCAATACTTGGCCAAGGGGCCTCCCACCGTGCCCATAGGACCGTCATGGAACCTGCAGAAGATACCAAAGTTCACGAGAGCATGGGGATGATAAAATAATGCATAAAGATTATCAAAATAAGCGCAAATAAGCATTACTTTTCATCAATACATAAAGAAGCCATAAGAGGATAAATGAGGTGGAAAAAACTAAGAAAAATAAGAGGAAAAAGACCTAAATGCTACCCCTAAGAGTGACATATATGTCACTCATCAAACTCCCCCACGCTAAGCCTTTGCTCGCCCTCGAGCAAAGCAAAGGAAAATGAACAAGGGAGAAAGAATTAGTTATTCAAACATGCAAGGAACAAAAGAAAAACCGAAATTGCTTTTAGCAAAAGCAACAAGCCATTTAAACCCCAAGGTCGCCGATGAGGACGAGTTGTGATCTCGTGAGGGTTTCCAAAGAGCATACCCCACAACTCTTACAAAATTGCTTAGGAAGCTCCGCAAAAAGTCAGCTGAAACGGGAAAAGGTCCGACCGAACTCTGGGTAGGTTCGGTCGGACTCAGGGTAGGTTCGGCCGAACTCAGGGTAGGTTCGGTCGAACCTCCCTGATCCTTGTTTGGTCAAACTTTCCTGGTTCGACCCCTCCTGTAAACATGCTAAAAACTTGGTTAAAACTGCCTTGGAGGTTCGGTCGAACTTTTCAAAAGTTTGACCACACCTTGGTTCGACCGAACCTCTTAGAGGTTCGGCCACACCTCCTCTTGAACTTCCTCTTCTTGCTTCCTCTCCTTCCCTTTTGCTCCTCTTGTATTTGTCCATGCCTCCATACTTGGCCAAGGGGCCTCCTACCATGCTTAGGACCGCCATGGAACCTGCAAAAGATAGCAAAGATCACGAGAGCATGGGGATGATAAAATTATGCATAAAGATTATCAAAACAAGCGCAAATAAGCATACTTTTCATCCATAAAAAAAAAGGAAGCCATAAGAGGAGAAAAGAGGTAGAAAAACCTAAGAAAAACAGGAGAAAAGAGACCAATACACTACCCCTAAGGGTAACATAAATGTCACTCATCATTCAACAAAATCATCTTCCCAAGGTTTGGCGTGCCTAAGGCTGTGATAAGCGATAACGGATCTCATTTTGTTCACAACGCCTTCCAAAAGATGTTGAGGAATCATGGAGTGCATCAACGGTTCGGCTTTCCATATCATCCTCAATCGAGTGGCCAAGTCGAGGTCTCCAATCGTCAAATAAAGCTCATTCTTGAGAAGACGGTTGCAAGGAATAGAAAGGATTGGTCGAACAAGTTAGATGATGCTCTTTGGGCTTATATGATGGCTTTTGAGACACCTATTGGTACCACTCCATATCGCCTTGTCTATGGAAAATCATGCCATCTCCCGGTAGAGCTTCAACATCGTGGCTTGTGGGCCATTAAGAAGATAAATTTTGACTTAGCTAGTGCGGGGGAGAAGAGGTGGTTGGATCTTCATGAGCTAGAGAAACTTCGACTTGATGCTTACGATTGTGTTACCACCTACAAAGCTCGCTCCAAGGAGGTTCATGACAAGTTGATTGAGAAAAAGGAGTTTTGTGTAGGTGACAAAGTCCTCCTCTACAATTCAAGGATGAAGTTGTTCCCCGGAAAGCTCATGTCAAGATGGAGTGGACCATTCTTGGTGAAAGATGTTTTTGATAATGGTGCCGTGGAGATTTCTCCTTTGAACT